ATCTTGGTCGTGAGTTGTAACACAAGAGACAAGTGGTATATATGAACATCAGCTGGGGCGCTTCTCTGAGGTTGACAAGCCATTTGACGAGTACAGTAAACACTCTCCATTCGCGAGGGTTACGTTCTTGAAAAAGCTCGCGAATGCAGAAACCTTGTTTGGCTGGGAAAAATGGGGTTAAGTTCCTTTACGAGTGAATATATGGGGGAAATGGTAAATATTTAATAACAATTGCGATAATAATTAAATAAATTCATTATAAAGAGCGATGTGTTGTTTTTTGTCACTTTTGATGATGATTTGACAATGGAGGTGGTGGTGATGGTGAGGAATTCAGGAGGATGACTTCTCTGGAGAGATGCAGGTGTTTGATAACGCACAGCAGTTATCATTTTAACACTTTCCCCGATTGAATTCGCGTCCCTTTTTAGTGGACCTCGCAGTCGACTCGTTTATACCAAAACGTATCAACGAATTGACTGTAAGTATGTATAAAGTAAAAATGCACAATAGCGAGTTCAGACCAGGGTTACTGCGAGACTGAGGACAAAGCGGGTTAGCCGAGGGTGCGTGCCTAATCTTCGCGGCTGTAAAACTCTGCGCGCAACCCTGGTCTGGCACGTACACTCGTGTATACTGAAACTCGCGTAATATGCGAAATTCGCAGATGCAGAACTCGCGCAGAGCGAGGGTTTGCTGTACTTGGTGTGATGTGTGAACATGGCACTGGGCAGATAAACGACAGTCTGGAATGGTTCTGACAACGCCGCCCGCTCGTGCACTGTGCCGGCATTAGTCGGTGCCCACGAATAGCTCTTGTTCTTGTGTGTAAAGATAAATGACGGACCTTTGGATTCGTCTGAGTCTGTTGGTGTGAGAATGTGCGAGTGCCTGTTGGGCTAACGGGGGGAGCTCTATTTAAAGAGCGACATTGATCCTCTCATGAAGTGACACATGGAGACACAAATACACTAGACTCACTCCCACTGTCCCCACAGCACATACAGTGTGTATGTAGAAATTGGCAATGATATTGCAGTTATTGCACTGGACTACGATTCCTTTTGACTCGGGTTCAATGCCTGTTCATGCTCATCAGTAGGCGATGGTTGCAGAATAGGCTTGTGCATCTCCGAGGTCATCTCGCCCTTATATGAGCAATGTTTTGCAAGTAATACTTGCCTAGTGTACATTGTGATATCTGTGTGTACGGGCAGCCCTCGACTTCGTACGGGTTTCATTCCTGAGACCGTTAGTACGTCGAACGGTTCGTAAGTCGGAACACAATCTTCTATCTATCTTCTATCTATATATATATAAAAGTCCAAAATTGTTTGTGGGTTTGTGGCGGGGTTTTTGTGTTCGCACGCTTGCGAAGGATTTGGCTCTCTAACGGTGGGGTTTACATAAAATAAAAATAGTCAGATACCATGCCGTAAGCCCCACCGTGAGCAAGTGCTATTCCTTTTTTACATCCCTCAACTTTTAATTAGTTTAATTAGCGATTTTGTGAGATTTTTATTGAATGATTTATGATGCGTGCACGACCATACCAACTCACGCACCTTTGGTGGGGGGGGGACGGCCCATGCCAAGTCGCACGCATTCGGTGGGAGTGAGGGGGACATTTTCTTTCGCGTAAGAAATGATGTACAAATACACTAAACGCTCAGGTAAATTCTTCACTGTGTGATGTCCCGCCCACCCCGATGCATGCAGTTACTACTACTATACAGTCAAGTTCAAGTTCATTTATTAGGTACAGCCCTGTGAGCCATTCAGCTCTTGAATCGGGTGCAACCGCAACAAACAAAAAACAAAAACATGAACAAAAAAACATCTTAAAGTAAATATGTGACTAAGTGCAAACAGAAAATCCAAGAAAAGACAGCAAAAATATTGCAGAAAAAACACCGTACACCAACGCTGTGTGCAAAAATCCCAGTGGGATGCAAGTCAAACAACAACAACAACCACAAGACAACTTAGATTAAGGCCATCAGTCTAACTCTGTACTACAACAACACAAACATGGCTAAACCAATACACTTTTCGAAATCACCAAAATAAAGCCATGAAGGCAATGAAAAAGCAATCATAGGAACTGACGGAATTTTCACAATAAATGGCATAAACAACATGTACTACCAAAACCCTGCAGCCATAGCTGGCTGCATGAGTCACTCCACAACAGCAGGAGCATCAATCGGAGTATTGTAATTTTTCAATGCACCTTTAAGATCAGCACACTAAATCAAAACACAGGTCATACTTTGTAGCGATCATCCGGAGCGAAACATTTTATTTTAGGTCACTGAATAGCACTGGCAGCTAGGGGTGTACAACTCCTCTAAAGCAGTTTTGAGTGAAGATCTCATAGGTAGTGACTCAAGTTTCAATTTATTTGCAACAGCATTCCAGACCCTGGGGGCATCAATAGCAAAGGCCCTTCCTCCAGTATATGTACGGCAATAGGGAATATCAAGCTGGTAAATGAGTGTCGGTAGATGCTACCACTATAGGCCGTAGATCAGGGGTCGGGAACCTTTTTGCCTGGGAGAGCCATAAAAGCCAAATATTTCTAAATATATTTCATTGAGAGCCATATAGTATTTTCAACGTATAATAAATTAAATATGTCTTACTTTTAATGCGACTTCTGGTGCTGCATGGTTTTGCTGATGGCCTTGTAGTCTGGTTCATACGACTTGGTGAGGTTGAGCTTCGTGCAGGCGTGACCCGTGAAATTTATCTTCAAAACTAATTTCTGTTTACTTTAAAATGACACGGTATTATTAAGCAATATCACAAGTATTTTAAAATCAGTTCCAAACTGATTTTTTTTTTCCAACTCAAAATTGTCTGGGAGCCATGTGCCGTCACTGGAAGAGCCATATATGGCTTGCGAGCCATAGGTTCCCGACCGCTGCTGTAGATATTACTGCAGAGCGGCCGGGGAGATCGTGACTGGGGGGGCGGGGTCAGGGGTAGCAGCCCAGCCCCAGCTTGCCAAGGTGCCACCTCGGCCGGCTGGACAATCTAGGCGAGGCCGGAGGCTCTGCACGGGACTAGGCCTCACCACACAACTCTGTCCGGTGAGTACCTTGTGCTATAGAGTCCATAAACACTGCTATAGAGTCACCATGTACTCCTGTAGTGATAGCAGGTACCACCAGAGTCAGTACGCACTACTGTTAGATTTTTAAGAGTAGTTTTGAAATATTGTTTTTACCCGGGCAACGCCGGGTATATAAGCTAGTAATACACTGTATTTAAATGCACATGGTTGGTGTTATGAAATATGTTACGGTTCAACAAAAAAGGGAAGCATTGTTAAACTCACAAATAAGAATAAATATTGTACATTTGCATATAATACTGTAATAAATACTGTATAGTAAATAAAACATAAAATAAAGTAACAAATAAAAAAATATCAGTTTTATTTTCACATACCTTGAGTCCTGATGCTGGCACACGGAGTCACTCGCACACACACATACAGCAACGACAACGATCCCCCGTGTAGCCTTAGCAGACTGTTCGGGCAATTGCTGTTGAGGAGCGGCGCCTATGAATGCCGGCACGGCACACGAGGGGGTGGGTGGCCAGCGCCATGCCCGGCCGCCTTTGGCTCCCCAGTGGCGATGTTTACACACCACAGCAGGTACTCATTTGAAGCCGAGTCGACCGAGGTAGGCCCAGAACCAATTCAAATAATCGTCAATGGTGTTGGTCGTGAGCGGGAATCGAACTTGGTTTGCGAGGTTGGTAGCGCAGTGCGCTAACCATTGCACTACTACTCCACACACACGGGGCATGCGTGCATATGCACACACATACTCATTTTGACATACACATGCATGAACACATATACATACACTCATTCCCAGCGGTGTGCTGTAGTCATATCTTGCAGAGGATTGCTCCGCTGAACAAAAAAGTTCTGCAGTTCAATTTGCAAGTGCGAGATCGTGTTTGCAAGTCGATGTTAAAAAATGTAATTTCTCATGGAAGCTTTTCCTAAGTGTGGATGTGCATGAGATGAGCACTGCCTGTAATAGATATTCGCCAATATTGCTTATCTCAGTTGTCTCTGGCTATGTAGGGAATCGTTGTCTCTTTGAGTAGGTGCAGAAGTTTGCCCATGATTGTAACAAGATTCAGTGTATCGAACACCTAAACCATAGGCAGTGGGCAGAGTGAGAAGTGAAATTGGTGTGTCTTGTCATTCACCGGAGTAATTGAACCCATAACACCTGGGCCTGTCCTTTAATTTGCTATAACAGAAACTTCACCACACCACACAGCTTGAAAGTACATCTTGCATGGCACAAGTGCCGCGGTGACGTCACTGCCATTTAGTGGTGAAGAACGGTTGTTAGGTTACGTTTTATATATATACGACTGCGGTCGTGCAGCGGTTAGCGTGTTGCGCCTGGCAAGCCGGGTTTGATTCCCGTTCATGGTCAACACCCGTGACGATTATCTGAATCGGTCCTGGGCCTCCCCGAGGTCGACTTAGTCTCAATGGAGTACCTGCTGTGGTGTGTAAACATCACCACTAGGGAGACAAAGGTGGTCAGGCGTCGTGCTGGCCACCCACCCCCTCGTGCTATGCCGGCCTTTATAGGTGCTCACTAACAGCACTTGCCCCAGCAGTCTATTAAGGTTATAGGGGAGGTCTTTGCCTTAAGTGTTGAGTAGGGGTTTCATGCACTATGCTATGGTTACGATTCCCAACCTGTGGTCAGTGAATGAGTATCTGAACCTGTTCTGGGCTTTCCTGAGGTTGACCCCAGCTGTAAATGAGTACCTGGTGCATTCTGTGTGTGAACATCGGCACTGGGGAGAAAAAGCAACTGGGTGTGGTGTTCGCCACGACCACCACCACCACGACCACCTGTACCATTCCTGCCTTGACGAGTGTTCACTAAAAAGCTCTTGTTCTTATGGTCTTTGAAGCTGAATCTGTGATGTTTTGTGTGTGCGTGCGCCAGATGGCGGGAGATGAGTTCCCCGGAGCGGGAAGTCAGCGGGGGGTCGATGGATCCGGGGGAACCGAATATCAAGTGGGAGTTTACGGGTGGCGCAAGCGCTGCCTCTACCTGTTGGTGCTGCTGCTCACAGTTATCCTGATTGTCAACCTCGCGCTCACCATGTGGATCCTCCGCGTCATGCACTTCAACCTGGTGAGAAGAGCCACAACAGTCCCATTAGCATCATCTCCATCGGCATCAACAACACAGTTATCTTTCGATTTAAAGCTTTTGTGACTGCAGGGATTCATCTTATTGGTTCTTTCGGTAAAGTCACGTAGAAGGGAAATAATAAAATAATAAAACATAATAAAATACAATTCTCACGACGTTTCGGCCACAACGCAAGCAGCCGTCCTCAGGTGAAGAACAGGTCTGTCGGAAAGACAGCGTTTGAATGAGCACCACCGAGCTTGGCAGCGTATATTTAAGCTGGGTTGGAGGGGGAAGGGCGCCTTGACAAAGGCGCGATAACACAGCTATCGCTCGGGATCGCACGTTATTATGATACATTCATGATAGATACGTCAAGTAGCATGTGTAAATAAAAATGTGTTTTGGATGCTAGATGTTGAACGTAATGGGTTCAGGTCACCCTGCAGCAACCAGACGTGATACCTTTAAACACAAAGTTAATTAATTAATTATTAAATACATTTTCAGCCCTGGATCATGGAGTGAATGGCACCACCCCTTCATTAAGCATTCCAATTATTACCAGCATTAAATATCAACATTATCAACAAAATCACCACCATTGGCAGCATTAATGTTACCACCATCATCATCACCAATCCTGAAGACTAATAGCTACCAAACAGCACCATCAATAAAGGGAGGTGGTGTTGGGGTAGCTCGTGCCAGAATACTTAGCCAGCACCGCTGAGTAGATGATTAAACTGCAGTCTCAAGTGTAGCAAGTCAATGGTCTCAGCAGGGTCAACAATTCACAAATAAAGCAAAAGGGTCAATTCGTTTTGAGAAGTGACCATTTTGTTTGGACTGTCAAGTGGTGGTAGGATAATTAAGGGTTCAAGTTGTATTTAGAAACTCGCCTTGACAACATTATCAGTTCTATCAACTACATTAGCATAACCAACTACATTAGCATTATCAACACCATTAGCATTATTCTTTGGTTCTTTCGGTAAAGTCACGTATAAAGATAAAATAATAAATTAAATAATAGCATACTCCGACGTTCTCCTAATTTTCAAGCTTGCGTACCGTACCACGCGTCGTCCCACTCATTGACATGCTAATTTTTTCTTTGCCCCCTCCCTCTCTCCGCCCCCGCCCCCTCTCTCTATTTAAGGCCTCGTCACAGAGACGACCTCTCTCTTTGTGCCGATGTGTGTTCTCTCTCTGTGATGTCTGTCTGCTTATATGTCTGTCTATAGTTTTCTGGTTAGATTTTTATTGCTATTTCTTTCTTTTATACATGATGATGATTGCTTGTGTTGCAATCGAAACGTCGTAGTATGCTATTATTTAATTTATTATTTTATCTTTATACGTGACTTTACCGAAAGAACTAAAGAGTAATCCCTGCAGTCACGAAAGCTCCAAATTAAGATTAGCATTATTGTCAACACCCTTAGTGTCATAGTCTTGAGTTGAAGCTTTCGTGACTGCAGGAATTACTCTTTGGTTCTTTCGGTAAAGTCACGTAGAAAGAAAATTAATTAAATAATCGAGTACGACGTTTCGATTGCAACACAAGCAACCGTCATCAGGCAGAACTAAATTTGAGAGAGAGACAAAACACAGACATGGAGACACACAGACAGACACACAAGCAGAGAGAGACTGTCTGTCTGTCTGTCTGTGTGTCTCCATGTCTGTGTTTTGTCTCTCAGATTTAGTTCTACCCGATGACGGCTGCTTGTGTAGCAATCGAAACGTCGTACTCTGTTATTTAATTACATTTATTTTTTTCTACGTGACTTCACCGAAAGAACCAAAGAGTATTATAGTCATTAACACATTATAAAACCATCATAATTAACACTGAATAATGTTCCCAACAAACCGCAAATCAATACCAGTCAGCATTGACATCACCACCATTGTCATGAACACACTTCACATCAAAACTCGGCATTTAACGATTCCTCCCCCCTTACGGTTAAATTATCACGATTCATTGTCGCAGTTTGATTCAAGAATGAAATGTTTTACATTGTGGTGAATGTAGTGCCTCTATTGGTTGCAAGGATCATACAACCCTATTATGTACAACATACATGAACTCAAAATTAGAATTTCTCACGAGCAAAATTTGATGCACGTATTGTGAGTGTAAGAATCGAGTTGAATCGCTTTGTTCCGTCAACAGCATCCTCACCTTGATTTTCACCGCAATCGTCATCTTCCTGTTCATCGTGTCAGTGGTAATAACCATTATTACCACTGACACGATGAACACTGGCATCACAAATTTATCCTGGAGAAATCCGATGAGCTATGAAGCTTTTTTTCACACATGTCCAGGAGGGGCAGGTCAGAAAGTTACATCAACACACGATGCTAAAAAATAGCAGTGCAAAGTATCGGAAAAGTAAACTAATTACTAAAAATAAATATATGAAAACGAATCAATTTTTTATTTTACCAGGTAAAGTCCACTGAGCTATTAATTGTTTTTGAGAAGCGACCTGGCCACATGCTAGCTCAACAAGCAAGCACTAGTGTTTGTACATTAGATATCCATGCTGTTTCTGTGTCTCACATGCAGGATGGGATGGGCCATCTCAGAATGTCCGAGGAAGGCCTCCGTCTCGAGGGAGAATCCGAGTTCCTGCTCCCCCTGTATGCCAAGGAGATACACTCACGCAAGGTGTGCACGTGTGTGCATGTGTGTGTGCGTTCATGTGTGGGTATGCATGCGCTTGTGTGTGCATACATCTCTCCGTCACTTCCATGTGTGTGTGCGTTCATGTGTGGGTTTGCATGCGCTTGTGTGTGCATACATCTCTCCGTCACTTCCATGTGTGTGCGCCTGCTTGTGTATATATGTGCAGGTGTGTACCTGTGCTTGGGCACGTGTGTGTGTACTTGTATATGTATGTGTGTCTGCTTGTGGGGAGTGGTGGCGCAGTGGTTAATGCACTGTGCCATGAACCCGGTGACCCGAGTTCGATTCCTGCTCACGACTAAGAACAGTGGCGAATATTTGAACTGGTTCTGGGCCTCCCCTATATCGACTCAACCTTAAACGCGTATATGGTGAGGTGTGTAAACATCAGCGCTGGGGAGGCAGATGGTCGGGTGTGGCGTTGGCCATCCATCCCCTCATGCGCCATGCTGGCCTTCATGTCTGCTGGCTAAGAGCACTTGCCACAACAACAGCAGCCTATGAAAGGCTTCACAGGGGATCTTTGTCATTGCGTCTGCTTGTACGTGTCTGATTCTGTGTGTGTGTGTGTGTGCAAATGTACAGGAGAGCCCACTGCTCATGCATTCAGCTCGGAACGTGACGGTGAACGCACGCAACTCGGATGGGCACGTGACAGGGCGACTCACAGTGGGTGAGACAATCCCCAGAGACACAAAGCGGCAGAGAGAAAGAGACACCTACTGCTTTACAATGTTATGCAATTGTGATGGTGGTGGTGGTCGTGCTGGCCTGTGGGGAGCGGTAGTGTAGCGATTAACGCTCTGCGCTACTAACCTGGAGACCCGGGTTCGATTCCCGCTCACGGCCAATACCAGCGATGATTATTTGAACCGGCCCTGGGCCTCCCCTAGGTCGACTCAGCCTCACATTAGTATCTGGTGCGATGTGTAAACATCGCCACTGGGGAGATTAAGGCGGCCGGGCGTGGTGCTGGCCACCCACTACTACCTCATGTGCCGTGCCGGCCTTTATAGGTGCTCGCTAGCAGCACTTGCCCCCTCGAGTCTGTTAAGGCTATACGGGGGATCTTTGTCTTTGATTGTGGTGGTTACTGATTTTTATGACATTGATCGAGTTTGTATTTGTAATTACAGTTGTAGTTGGTAATCAAATCACCCGGAATGAGTGCCCTATCTCATCAGATCTCCAAAGCTAAGCAGTTTTGAGCCTGGATATTGCCTGGATACGGTGTCGACTATGCGCAGCTGGTTGTTATAGGCTGTGGGGTTATATTGTGGGTAGCAGAGAGCAGTGCAGAGAAATCCGTTGCTGTGCTTTACTGCTATGCTGCCACATCCATAGTCTCCACTGTTGCCAACTGGCATGGTGCAGTGTGGTTAAATATCCCCCACGATTTGCACGATGCTGGGTGGCCATCATCAGCAGTGGATTGACAAAGAGCTGTGCTGAAACAAATCGTGACGAGAGTGATGCTGGCCGTTTCTTGCAATGATGACGATTCATGTGCGTTGTGTCTTTATAGATGCCACCCGATGATGATGTCTGTCATGTGATGATGTTGATGCTATTGGTTCTGCCATGTCATGATGATGATGATGTGTTTGAAGTTGGCCAGGCTGTACATTGATGACGATGTTCGGCTATGCCGTGCGACGACGGTGTGGTTGTTTGGCGTGGTTGTTTAGGAGCGGATGCGCTTCACTACGAGGGCTCGCGTCTCGAGATCACCTCGCCCCAGGGCCGATCGCTGTTTGTGGCCTCTGATGACGAGGTGGTGGTCGGGGCCGACCGCCTACGGGTTACCGGTGAGGACAAGGACATGGGGAGACACAGGGGAGGAAGATGAGACATGCAAAGACAGTGGGACAAATGGATACAGAGGGGGGGTATGGAGAGATGCAGGAGTCGAAGGAGATAGTGTCAGGATGGGGGACATGGATTACATGGATATGAGGGACATGAGACAGGGGAGTCAGGAATGACAAGGGCATACAAGGGGGCACAGGGAGACAAGGGGTCATGGAGAGACATGGAGACATGTAAAGCACAGGACAATGCGGGGAGACCGGTACAAGGGGTCAATAGTGTAGGGTATGGAGACCAGACATGTCACCGTGTAGGTGTTGATTCAGCATGGATTTTTTTTTTCATTTTGCTCATTATACACACATCTAATGGTGCACTGGTGGCCAACTTGTGGATCGTGATTCACGGATGGATCGCAAAAGATGTTTTGTGGAATTCGGGACATCAGCAGACAATAATTATCATTCTGGCTGATGACAAACATCCCCAACTAAAAATGAATTCATAAAAAAACAACTTCTCCCAGTAGATGGGACTTGTACTTTATGTCAACATAGTGGAGCCTGTTGAGATCCACTAAAATGGATCGCCGTGCTTGGGTGTATATCTAATATTTGCATACAAGGAGATACTTCCACAATTCTGGCAAATCGCCTGATGAAGCTGGCCGTAATCACCAGCAAAACGTCGTGCTCCAATAGTAAATGTTGTGGGTTTACTCCCCAATGCATCGGTGTGCTGAGGTAGTAACTAATTGGCACGTTTTGTTTTCGTGAAAAACCTTAATAATTGGCTGTGTTGAGTGGTGGTGGCTTAACGACACATTTCATTTATATTTACGCGATCTAACCCAACGAAAAAAAACTTCATACTACTTTTGAACATTAGCAACCTTTCCTATTGTAGAGGAAGAGTGACGATAATTATTGGGAATCTTAGTCTCTTCGGTCATCAAATATGGATTTATTTTTATTTCAAGAGTACATTGGAAAGAGCAATTAGGCTCTAGATTGACTTAAAGTTAAAGATAATTAAAATACATTCCCCAACAACAAACTTTCATGATGAAGTACACCATATTTATACCAAAATTAACAAACTATTAAATGAGGTTAACATGTATATAATAAACATTGTAACGTTGCATCTCTGACCAGCACCACCTAGCCAGTGAGCTTGAGCACGTGCACCAGGCCCTCAAGATGAATGGATATTCAGACCGCACAATCCGCAAAGCTCTATCCCCAACCATGGGGAGACAACCATCTGAGGACCCAATCAAAACCATCACCTTGCCATACATAGCAGGTGTTACCAAAAAGATTTCCAAAATTTTGAACAAACACAAGATCCAGGTTCGATTCAACACAGTACACAAAATCCGTGATTTGATTCCATCTGTGAAGGATGTGATTCCTGACATGCAATACCCTGATGTCTACAAACTAAGTTGTGTCTGCGGCAGCAGTTACATTGGGGAAACTAAGTGACATGTCGCGGACTGTGTTCGCGAACACAAGGCTGATTTGAAACACGGCAGAACCAACACCTCTGCCGTGGCTGATCACTGTTTTAACGCGGTGGGCTCACATGATATTGTTTTTTTCCGAGACCAAGGTACTCTACAAACCTTTGGGCTACCATCAAAGATTTGTCCATGTAGCCATCCAGATATATAAACACAGACACAATTTCAACCGAGAAGATGGGCACAAACTGAGCACTCATTGGAAGGACGTTATTAACTGGTTTAGGTCATAACTGGCTGTGATGTCCCCTTCCTGCCCACCTCTGTTAGCACCTTCTCTCGACTCTCTGAGTCACATTCACTAACACAGCTTTTCTCTCCTCCTGCCACCGATTATCTATGCCCCACCCCCCCTCTCTCCTCCTGCTGCCCCCCCCCCCTTTCTCTCCCCCTGGCACTTGCACAGCTCCCTTCCCTATCTCTGCCCCCCCCTCTCTCTCCCCCTTGCCTCACGCGCAGCCCCCTTTCTTAGCTTTGCCCCCCCCCTCTCTCTCCTCCTGCCGCCGATTCCTCTGTAAATTGCATCCCCACTCGCTCGCTCGTTATGGCCGCCCCTCTCCTCCCTCCCCCCCTCGGATTAGCTGACGCTTGCTAGCCTTCTGTTTGCTCGCCTTACCTTTACTGACACATTCCATCCCTGGCCCCGTCCACTTACCCTTGGGTGTACCCACCACAAATGTATGTAGCTCTCTCGCTACATTTCCTCTTGCCTCAGCAGTCCGCCTGCTGTATTGTTTCACCTGAGGACGATGGCTTGTGTTGCTATAACGTCGTGATCTATTATTTTTCTACCTACGTGACTTTACCGAAAGACCCAAAGAGTATGAGTATTCTAACGGGTGACGATGATGCAAATGTGCAGACACGAAGATGGTAATTTGGTAAAATTGCCAATGGGGAGTGAGCAATAACAGTTTTCAGCTAGCAAAGACTGTGTTAATAATTAACACCTTTTTCAAAAATGAATCTAGGAAAAAGAAGAGGAGTAGTCTAAATGGTGAATTTTTTTTAATGAGACGAACATTATTCCAATGGGCAAATCTATATTTTGTCAAACATGTCTGTCCCTAATACAATCAACACAGGACACAGTCAGACCAGTGTGATGCAAGTTGCACTTAAGCGTAGCTAATAAGAGGGCAAAGCTGCAGGCAAATACAACACTGACATCATTATTCTAGCCTAGGAGGTAGCCGATTTCAGTAGCAAATGCAATTGCTTTGAGGTATAACGTAATTAAATGTTTCACCACTAATTAGTGTAAAAGTATAAATTATCTGAAAACATAAAGAGACAAGCTTAGATGAATTATCTAAAAAAGAGACAGATGCCAAACAAAATATAGCATACTCCAAACTCTATTATGATTAAACATAGGGTGAGAAATTGGACAACAGAACACAAACACGATTAAAGATACCATATCAAGCAGTAGGAGCATGAAATCAGCATCAGAAGGCTGATTCAAATAATAGCTTTGGACACCTGTGTAAAAGAGCTTCATAGTTCATCAGATTCCTCCTGTATAAGTAAAGATTCAGTTTTTCACGAAAGCAACATGGCATGTGTCAATATGTGTGTATGGTACAGATGTTCAAACAATTGTCAAAGCAACAAAGTTGATGTAAGTAGACAGTGGAAGAGAGTGGGGATCAATGGGATTGATTTTATGTGCAAGCAGACAAACAAGGCTTTCTGAATTTAAGTTATATTTGATGTGGAAAGGGAGGCGAAGGTGTGAATGGCAAGCAGGTAATATAATGCCATGCTTCTTGACTCGTTAAGAAGCATGAACCATCACGCCAACTCCAGTCATCATCGCAGCGATTTTGGGCTCACCATCGAATTAAAGACGGTCACTGCATCGCGTGCTTTCAGATGCGCTACTGCAGCCATCTGGAACGCTCTTCCTTCCGATATTAGGAAGCCACTGGAGCTATGCACTTTAAAATCGAGATTGAAAATTATTTCTTTGGAACTGATTTTTGTATTTAGTTTGTTGTCCTTCTCCCGCACCTCCGATTACAGCATACATTTATACATTAACTGCTCTACAGCTTAAACGTTCCAATGCATCAATTGCATACATTGTGTTTACATCAGAATGCAATGGAGGGAGGCTGACGTTGCTTCCGGCGATGAAAGATTACAAATTTATCTGTTTTAAAACAAACATGAAGGAAAACAACACCTTGAAATAAGTTAGTTCCTGCGGGTCTTTACCCAACAGACATAATTTAAGAGAAGATAAATTGTTAGACAGCTTCAACGAGGTTTAAAATTGTATTGAATGGCTCCTAAATGTTGGATATCTGGGCAAGACTAGAAGGCATGAAAATATGCGTGCAGTGATAAGGGCACCTGCAGTATGTCGCTGTAATGTGAGACGAATACTTTACTCTTCATTCCTTATCATGGTTAAAACCATATATCATCCTTGAAAAGACAGCTTACAACATTGTAACCAGGAAGCGTTGAGAAGTTGTATCGCATCATTATACTCTTAAATAAAAGGATGCACCCATGGAGATTATGTTTTGGAAAGTAAGGCTCTTCAACATGTGACAATTGGGTATGGTTGTACATATATGCCCTTGGAAATTATGCCATGCATGGAACGGGCAACAGCTTGTGTTTAAACACCATTGCCAATGCTGGGATCTCCCTTTCAGACGAGATAAAGGCCTTTTGCAATTGTGATGTAAATTGAGTGAGTGCCGACGCTACGTGCATGCGTGAACGAGTCGTATGTGTCGCATCATTCACACTGCGCCCTTTGCCTACACACCCTGCTCCCCAGGGGCCGAGGGAGCCATCTTCGAGCACTCGGTACAGACGCCGCAGATCAGAGCGGAGGCCTTCAACGAACTCAAGTACGAGCGTGATGAGGTGGCAGGAGTTGACGATGAAAGTTTGAAAGAATGGGCCTTCATTTAAAGATAATACATTTAGTGACTGGAATTAACGAACGTGTTGAACGAGTCTTGATCTGTTCAACATTTAATCTACTCTAATCTCAATTAATTGGATCTTGAATTAACATCTCAATATAACACATCTCGATTTAATAAACACCTGCTAATTCAATACATATTTTTAACAAACTTATATCTCGAGTAATCTTCAATTACCCAATCTCAGTTTAATAAACCAAGTGATAACGCGTTGAACATTAATTAATCTTAACGTAAAAATTAATTGATAAAATATAGAAATACCCAAGGCCGATGTTATGCTTCTTCACACACGTCGTCACGACATTGATGTTGCCCACAATGCTGCCATAATGGTGTCACCCCCTCGCCTCAGGCTGGAGGCCCCGACGAGGTCTCTGACCATGGACGCACCCAAGGGAGTTAGCATCCGGGCCGAGGCGGGCGGGCTCGAGGCAATGTGTCGAACGGACATCACCCTGCAGTCCACAGAGGGCGCGGTATGTACAAGACAAACATACCTCTTATAGCGAGAAAACCTAAGAATACGTACAAGACAAACCTCTTATAGCCTTAACAGACTTCTAGGGCAAGTGCTATTTGCGAATACCTATGAAGGCCGTCACGGCACACGAGGTGTTCGGTGACCAGCACCATGCCCCACCGCTCTGTGCTCCAGCAGCCCATGGCATTCTCTCGAAGCCCCAAGTCAACATTCTTGTTCTGTCAGCTGCCCGTTTGGTCTGCAACTGCCTTGACCCAGCCATCTGTGCTGCCTCTGTTCCAGGCTTGAGACCTTTTGCACTTCTGCTCTGCTTATGGTTGACTGTCTTTCTAGACATTATACACGACATATATACGCCTCAATCTCTCCGTGATGCACAAGTTCCGCTGTTTTATGCAGTGTCTTGATATGCTGTTGCATTTAGATTCTATATAAATCCAAATGTTATTGCATGTGTACACGTGTGCACAAGTAGGCACGTGCACACCTCTGTATGCATGGGATCAGGTTAAGACTAATAGTGGATGTGGATGAAGATACGGAATCTAATTAGATGAAAGTATAATTATGAATATTGAATGTTAATTGGGTTATGATCGGGTTAAGAGGTCTCATCTCGTTAAAGGAAAATGCAGCTGAACAGCTTATGTAGCAAACTAAATAGGCTGAGTTGTAGATTGTGTCACAGACTGTGTCCAGCAAAGGTTTCAAAGCTTTGAAATATCCTTTAAGGAGCTCAATCTAGTGATGTTAGTGATGTAACATCACGGGAAAGAGGGCAGCAGTCATACGAAATAATGTCACTAAATTGTGTCCGTAAACAATTTTAATGTGTTTCCCATTCCCCTCCTCCCACCCCATGGATTACGTTTTAAACCCAGGCCTGATGGCCTGGAGGCATATTCTAGGTGCATATTTGCAAAATACATGATCAGACACAGCATCTTGCTGGGTCCTCACCTGTATAATATTAACAGGTACTCATTTAAAATTCTTGGTAATACACAAATTGAATGGGGGATCACCGGGTGAAGCGAGGTACACTGGAGGGCAAGGATTTGGCTGGCTGTGACCGTGGTGGGCACGTGTTGCTTGTGACAGGTGGTGCTCGATGCTGCACGCGTGCTTCTGCCGAAATTGCCCGAGGGCACAAGAGGGTCAGGAGGGGCAGTGGGAGGTGCGGGGGGTCCCGTGTACGAGCTTTGTTCGTGCCCCAACGGAAAGCTGTACCTGGCAGAGGCTGGGCCCCGCTCCACCTGCCTGGAGCAAAGTGGCATCTGTCAGTAGCGCAAAATGTGCTTGCGTGCACACACACACACACATAAACCTGCGCACACATGGACAAGCGCGTGCACACGGTATAGACACGTAACAACAACTGCCTTTCACCGCGAAGTGGCGGTAACGTCACCACGGCGCTTGTGCCATGTAAGGTGCACGTAGAAACATACACACGGATGCACAGAAATTCACAGATGTGCACAATTACAGATGCACACAGACATACGGAACACACAAACGCACACAGATGCATGCACAGTATACACTTATGCGCACACATATGCAGACAGATGCATAGACACATTCAGATGTATACAGTGATACACACAGATGAGCACATTTTTATCACACACAACCGCAGAGATGCACATGCAGCCTTATACTCAATGTGTACACAGAGATGCATGCACACATGCAGATAGATCTGTGGGAAGATAGATGCATCTACACACAGAGATGCAGATACAATTGGGTGCTCAAGTACATGCAAATACAACAAACTTGGAGGTGGTGACACCACTACAGCTCCTGTGTGAGGCTTAGTCTGCACACACCATGCACTACCATGCACTACCATGCACTACCATGCACATGCACTCAAGCACACCATGCACTACCATGCACATACACTCAAGCACACCATGCACTACCATGCACATACACTCAAGCACACCATGCACTACCATGCACTACCATGCACACACCATGCACTACCATGCACTACCATGCACACACCATGCACTACCATGCACTACCATGCACACACCATGCACTACCATGCACTACCATGCACATAGACTCAAGCACACCATGCACTACCATGCACTACCATGCACATACACTACCATGCACATACACTCAAGAACTAATATATATAGACTCGCGCACTGCGCTCGTAAATCTGTTTACGCATATATGCTCACGTGCATACAGGCATATACACATACAATGTGACACTGGTTCATTCACTAAACACATTCGTTGAATAGCATACCCACTCATGAATACATAAGAGTGTACATACGTACATATATAGTGTTATTAAAACATTTTTTAAAAAGGGAACTATTTTTTTGCTGAAAGGAAAATGAAAGTTGACACTTTGACCAGCACACGTTCTGCATTTATATTTAAAACTAAATTAACAAAAATCCCCAATTTGTTCAGGATTGACTGTTGTGGCATTCACAAGTTAGCAAGTGTCTGTTAAAGGGGACAGCATTACACGGGAAGGATTCGGTGTGGCCAGCACCACGCACAACCAACCACCATTATCTCCCAAGCAGATATTCTCAAGGCCCCAGGTATTTAGTTTAGGCTGAGATAACCTAGGGGAGAGACTCATGCCCAGTTCACTTACCAACTGCAAAATCTGCATCATGATCAAGAATTGAACCCAGGTTCATCTGGGATTGCAGTCTATTGCACAAACCGCGATGCCTCTGCTCATGCACATGACAAAGATCCCTGTTTAACCATAGACTGTTGGAGCCAGTACTGTTAGCGAATACCTATTGAGGTCACCATAACATGAAAAGGTGTGTGAGCCAGCACTCGTACATGCCTGGCCACCTTTATATCTCGTTATGATGCTCATACGCCGCACCAGATGCAGTCATTGTAGACTGAGTCAAGTTAAGATGGGCCCAGACCAAATTTGATTCCTATACCACAGTTCCTGAAATCAAACTGGTATGTCAGGATGGTTGTGCATTGCATTTGATGCACACATGACATTTCATTTACACGTACCACAAACATGCATACATGTATATACTGTAATCTCATTGACACACAAACACATGTACATATTCATACACGCATAAATATTTTCCACCACATGCACACATTGGGTTCATTCGCATTCAGACACGTACACGTAGTATACACGTAACCCACTTGTACTTCATAACACGTACCCACACACACACACACGATTCTTGTAAAACACGTGTGTTTGTACATTGTGTCTCCCCGGTCGTCATGGTGTTGTCGCTCTCGTCGCTGCTCTGTCATCGCAAATCTTCGATCCCAGACGCATTTCACCCGATCCCCCCAAGGCCCTTGTGACACTGGCTCGGAGAGGTGACCAGGTGGCTCTAGAAGCTTCTTAATGGCCATGTTGGAGCGCTAAGATCAACACCTGCTTTCCTAGGCTCAATGAATGAAGCTGCATATCTCCCGCTCTGTCGGGCGGTTCCTAATGGCTGTATTGGAAGCACTGAAGCAGCACATTGGAGGTTCTTGGTTCAATCTACATGGCTAGATGTCTTAGGTGTTCACAATTATCCGTAGTAGTGACATCACAGGCATCTGCAGTGGACAACCAGTGCACCTCATGCTTATCTGTCAAAAACAGCCTTCATGGGTCTCTACCAATGCTAGGTTGCACTCGCTACAGCTATGTGGAGATGTGGTTCTCTCCATGTATCATGTCAAGTCTCAAGGAGACTCGTTTTTCACAATGTTGAGTGTCTCACGGCTTTGCAATGGATTTTCACATGTTTTGTTTACCTGAAATGAATACTCAGCCCAATGTATTGCAGTGTCTCACCGGGCAGCTGCTGATGGTTCAGGTCTTATGTGAGGGTCAGCTCAAAAGTCAAGAAAGTAATAACTATTCAAGGTTATTTAATTTACTATGGGGGTGTTCACGAAGTGGTGCACATTAGCTTATTGATACTATGGAAACTCATTTAGTAACCCCCCCACCCCCAATTGTATCAAAGTGTACTCGCCCTTGCAGTCACAGTTCTGAGTCTCAGTTTCTTGGTTTCCCTCCGTTTCCCCAAACTTTTTCACTCCGTCTCACAGAATGTTGTACCCTCTGGGGTTGGCAAGTGTGATGTAGGTTTCAAATGAGCTGAGAGGCAGTCTTGACTGAATTAAACTTACGACGCCCTGTTCCGAGCATGGCCATTGAGTGCCCCGAGAGGCAGAGCCACCCTGCTGACTCCACTCGCTGTTAATTCGTTTTAAATTGGACATGAACCATACAGCTTTTACACTTGACTGGAGCATCAGTTTGTCCAAGTGCTTGGTGTGTGTCGCCTCCCCACCCACCCACCCACCACCCCCCCACCCACCACCCCCCACCCACCCACCACCCCCCACCCCACCCCATCATTGTTGCAAGAACAAAAAAAAATCTATGCAAGCTGTTGAGTGTCGCAATACAAAACCAAATGTATTTTAAAATACTAGTATTCCTGTTATTATTGCTGTTACTATTATAATGGTTATGGTTAGTCACTCATATGACATTATTTATTATGATTTTAAGGGCAAAGTGTCTCATTGCTCATTGGGCAGAATGGCCTTCTTGCCATTCTCGGTCGGTGGTGGAAATTCCACGACTGAGCGTGGGAGCACGAAGACAACAGCCCCCCACTGCTCGTCGTCAACTGCATGACGCGGTGGAGACCCTCCGATACCAGATCACTTCATCCAATCCCTTGGGGAATGATGATGGGGTTAAATCAACATTTGGCCATTATCTCAATTGAGGATTTGAAGCCCTGATGTTCAACTGTTATCACATTATTAGTCATAGAATTACAAGCTGTCGGTGTTATAAGGCTGCAAATGTTAAGGTTTTTGCAGTACAGTGCTCAAATGGGACCCTTTGGGACCCACTGGCTCAATTGGGAGTCATAGCTTTGAGTCGCAGCCTTATACACGAGGCTATACTTTATTGTGCACATACTGTTGTGGCAGATTAAAATGAGCCCAAAAGTAGTGCCAATTCCCCCATTTTTGATCATTAACATTGGCACATTTTCATCTAAAAATATCTGACAAATTTCTATTCAGATGATAAACGGGCCCTAAATCTTACACCAGTCAAAGTGTATCTTTGCTCAAACAACCTTGAAGTAGTGCTCATCATCATTGGCAGCCCTGAGCCTGGGGTAGAAATTGCTATGACAGGACAATAGGAGAGAGCCAACTGCTGGCTTTGCAAAGTTGCGGTTACTGTCAATCCCAGTAGGAATATGGGCTGAGTCAGGCACCAAGCAAGATTTGAACACGATTCCGAATTAAACGTTCTTACCATTGCCGTATGGGTGGTTTAAATGCAGTATATAGGTACGAATTTACAAACAGCATCACACAGGGCTCAGTTTTACCAGACAGGGTTTTAAAGTTTAAAAGTGGGCAAATTATGTAAATAATAATAGTAATGTTTTTGACTGCTAAAAAGGGATAAAAAACAATGGATGTAGTAAATATGTATTTTGAAAAGATATTGTATAGAAGCCTTTGCTAAAATAATGCATATTAAAAACGTGGGGGAACCCCCATGAAAATGCCGGTTATATTTTGAAGAATTAAAGTGTTGTGCATTTGTGTCGAGTTTGTATTGTCACATGAACCCACATACTGTTGGATGATATTATAACTGGTCACATTAGTAGTCATTCCCAAACTAATATCCATCCCCTGTAGGGCTGCCATTTACAGCTAAGAGGAAATTGGTGAGCACATCAAACTGGCACTCCAATAAAATGAAGTCTTTGTATTGGCCGATGCAAGGGTTCTTTCTGTATTGGATGGGTCACCTGGTTCAGCTATTTTGACTGCAAAAAAAAATCTTATCTCTGGATCAAGGGTGAAATTCTAAACTACACGTTTTTATTTTATTTTATCAGATAAGGCCTACTGCGCTTTACAAGTATCTTTCGGAAGCAACCTGGCCAAAAAATATAGCTCAATGAAGCAGTTCGTGTCCATTTATAGCAACCAAATACTCTTAAACACCTGTTTCTAAATGTAGAGGTGAAAACCGGGGGACTTGGAGGAAAAAATGAATATAAAACGGGGAAGAACATGCAAACTCCAAATATACAGGCGTCGAAGCTGGGATGGAACCCAACACCTGCAAACCAGATGATGTAGATAATGCCTCACCACCGGGATTCACATCTTCACCCAGAGACATTTAGCTATGGCAAGGGGCTCCATTGTGGCTGAGTAAATGGACACAAGAGGATAATACCACATCAAAAAACATTTTGCACCATATAAAATTTGGCCAAGCTCCAAAGCCCTGCAGTTAGAGCAGTTTGCCAATTTTCTGTATTCCCTGGAGCTGGGGTCACCGAAGCAGAGGTGACGAGAGCGCTCTTGAACCTTGAGCAAAGGTTCCAGTGCTTTCACTACTTCCAGCCTCTACTGCTGCATGCAGTACAGAAACACCTGATTTATCTAATTGAAGTTTTTGGTTTTTAAAAACGCAAGTAGTTTGCACATCTTTCAAATATACCGGGTGTCCGGTTTACGACGATCCACATTTACCATGTTTATATTATGCCATGGATTGATTTACGACATCTTCCGACACGACTCCCAAGCACATTTGAATAGGCTGGTTTGAAATGTAATTTGGCGTGGAGCTTTTGTTCTGAAAGTGTTTTTGTACCTATGTAACCTTGTTAAATATGGCTGATCAAAGGAAGACACCACATCGTCAAGATATATTTGTTTCTACGGTCTATGGGAAAATTAGATGCTTTACAACGGGATTTCCAGAAACATCGTAGAAAAATATTTTAAAACTTAAAAAAACACGCTTTAATGAAATGTACCGCGTGAGTAAAGTCAGAACTCCACGACTCCAGGAAGTGGCCCCGAAGCTTGCCGTGATTTACAGGATAGAATGTAGTATTGTCATCAGTATGACATAGCTATACCAAGTTTGCAGTCGATACCACATTGGGAAGACGGTTGAAATTGAGTTACAAGATTTGAGGATACGACAACAGAGTTAAATAAAAGCGTGTAAAATGTAAATTTTTTTTTATTTTTTTATGATAGAATATAGTCTTGTCATCAGTATGACATAAGTATACAAAGTTTGCAGTCGATCGCACATTGGGAAGTGGGTAAAATTTGAGTTACAAGATTTTTTGATAGGACAACAAGACGGAGTGAGTTAAATAAAAGCGTATAAAATGGGGACCGCTGTACAAGTAGAATCAATGACTGTATTCTTTACAGTGCAGTGTTTAGTGACTCGTGGCTTCAGGGGTGGTGTAAACTAAACAAAACACGTATCCTTACATGATGTAACTCGGACTGAGCATGAGAATCAAAATTTATGAACTGCATCATCCTTGGTCACCACAATTCACCGACCCTGTTGAGCACAAAGATTACTCTCCCAGAGCCCCACGCTCTCGTATACACATCTTTCACCCACGCAGAAAATGACAAGATTCACAAGTGGCATCTATATTGTTTTATTACATATTTACACACTTTAAGTTAAAAGGCATGAACCGTCTACTGTAAATAGAGGCCGATTGAAGTGCCTTCAGAAGAACTTCTGGGACATGAAGCTTCAGGTTTGACAAAGTTGGAACGGTAAATATAACGATACCAATGTCACAACCGGAATTTGAACCACTGCAGCAGGGTTGTAACGGTTTTCTGTCAACTTATATACAGAACAATAATACAGGTGACAATTTTTTTTTAAGTTACGGAGGGTTAGCCCACCACAAATCAACACATTGCTGGCATGCCAGTAATGACTGCAGCAAATTCTATTCATTTCTGGACAATATTTTAACGCATGCAAGAGGCGAGCTGAGAAAGGTGATACACTTTTTATTTATTCTGGTGACCAAATTACTGCACGAGAAAACGCACCATAAACATGTCAATAGAGTACGTTAACAAAACTGATACAGGCTCATATGAAGCTCATTACAGACTGTATGGGAAACCGAGTAAACAGTAAAATATCTTCAGACTGGTTAGCCAACTTAACTGACAGAGGCAGTTGTCTGCAGGTTGCAAAAGTGACAAGTCTTGTCAGTCCATCTTAAAGACTCGTTAAGAGACTGTTCTGTCAGGCTTTTGTCTAAAAAAAACCCTTTAAAGACCAGTCCTGTTAGTCTTGTTTGAAATTGCTAAAGAACATGGGTTATGAATACACCGTGGTTCTTCTAAAAGCAGGTACTTTAATCGTCGTCACTATTGACTACATCATCATCATCATCATCCTCTTCCTGCACATCATCAGGACAGCAGTAGTACTCGACAAAGCTGACCTGCAAAAAGATACATTGTCATTCACAGGGTGCCAACAATTGCCTTGTAACAGCTTGGTTATGGAAGGATTTGTACCTTTACCACTAAGGTCAACTCACATGAATTACATTCAGTAGATACACAGGGATGGAAGAATTGTGATGTCCAGAATCTATGGGAATCTAACAGATGGCAGAATGGGGCTCATAGGAGAAGTCCTGACTTGAGCCTCGGACTCTCACCCACAAAAAAGATGACCGATTCATGCTACTCTGTCTAATGAGTTTGGTCATATCAGCTCAGTCACTAATGACAAACGAACCCGCAAACATTTTCATTTTACAATTTGCCGACTGCGAACTTGGAGCAAACTTGGAGCATTCAGAACCATCCTATCATGTCATGCAAGAGTGGCTCATGAAGCACCGATTGAAGTCGATTCATTTCCCATGGCCGTTTGCTGACATGGCAACAATTTAAGAAATACAAATTTGTTTTGCTTCATAGCTGATAACCATGTTTTCTTATTATATATATCAGAAATGTCTGTTTCACGAAGTAAACATTAAGCAGCAATTCATTGCACCACAATATGGTCCTGGGTTAAAGTTTTCACCAGCATTATTTTGGTATACATAGCCTGCTTCTGTTTTGACTTTGTGTCATGATCAGAGTGCGTTCTAGGAAGCCCAAATTTGAAAGACTTAAAAGTGACTTTACATGGTGGAAATAACACGTAGTATTTTATTATGTATGTTTTATCTTCTTGGTTCTTTCGGTAAAGTCACGTAGAAGGGAAAGCATTCTTCACCTGAAGACGGCTGCTTGCGTTGTAGCCGAAACGTCGTGAGAATTATTTGATTTTATTATGTTTTATTTTTTTATTTTATAACTTCCCTTCTACGTGACTTTACCGAAAGAACCAAGAAGATGAATCCCTGCAGTCACGAAAGCTTTAAATCGAAATGTATGTTTTACTTATTTCGTATCATACATAGCCAACCGTGCAAATGTTACTGTATGTATTAAGCACAATATGACTTAATTAATATGGTAACAGCGCTCACGAGTGCTGTATATCCCTTCTCACCTCCCCGTCATTTGGGATCATGAACTGCAGCGATAGGAGACCCCGCCAGTCCATGCGCACAGATACCTTGCTTGCCTGGGACAAAGCCTTCATACTAGGTTTCAAGAACGATGCCTTGTACCTTTAAAGACAAAGAAACCGTGTTCGTTTTTAAAGCACAACAAATGAGAACAAAAAATTGCACGCTCCATAATGTAGTCGATGACATCTGAAAAAAGCTACTTAAAAAATAACCCATAAAACATTTACTATAACTCAAATCGAATACTTTTGTTTAAATTATGAGAAAAACTCATTATGACGGTGAAATGCAGGCACGAAACAGATGGCAGATGTGCCTTCCTGTTGTTTGTGAGGGCACCTTTGTGTGTTGTTAAATTTATTTAATATAACTACTGAAGTGAATGCCTGGGGTTTGGTAATGTGAAGAGGATAGGTACTTGTTTCTGGTGTGATACGAGTTGGTCGTATAAGAGTAGTTAAGAGTAATGTCTGGCCGACAGATTCCTATTGTCCAGCTGCCAGCAGAGGTCAGACAGGATGATAGACAAACAGAATTGGGATTGGTAGTGTGTTAAAGTTTAGTTACGAGTATGTAAGTATTATGAGCATGAATGGTACTGTACCGGTTCGTCTGTGCCTTGTTGCAGTGGAAGGACTCCACCATGTCTGAGTCTCTGGGGAAGTCGCAGTGCGTGCTCCCCAGCGGTCCGAACGTGGACAGCCTGAGACAGAAAGAACAAATAAGGGTGGACACACAGATGTACATGGATGCACACAGGGACAAGCAAGGACATATATTAATTTACGGATACAAGCACAGCCAAGGGAGCTTCATCGCCCAAGAGCTCGGGGGACACAGATATGGGCCCTGATGCAGCTCTTGGTCAGTGTTCGCCATCTCGGCACGTAACGATGTATGAATTTAATAACACCGGTCAACAAAAAAAACATTGTTTTCTGGCCTGGACTTTTGCAGCTGTTCTAGACTAATTTCAGGGTGCTGATTCCAAATCTGATCTCAGATTTGCTCTATCACATCTCATTTTTATGCTATCGGCATACCCCATTTTCATTGATTTTACCCGAAATTAACTCTGTCACTTATGATTGAAAGTTGTTGCGAGTCAGTGACTGCTTTAGGGTTAAAATATGGTGCTGTATGTTTAGGATAGTATGTTTATAATATCATTTTAAGTAGATATCCACATTTATTTAATATTTTTCTTCTGCAGGTTTTATTGGAAATGCAATATTTGATATCTCAAAAACCCTGATGTGATAGACAAAAACTGATATCAGATTTGGAATCAGCACCCCAAAATTACCTTAAAACCGTTGGAATACCTTATGCCAGAAAAAGTGTGTTGACCAGTGTTATTAAACTAAATTCTTATGCATCATGCGAAGACAGCAAAAATATACACAGATTGTAAAACACAAGACTAAACTGGGATGGAATAATGACAATTCATTGCATCAGTGGAGTGCTGAATCCCTCTGGTTACAAAGCATGAACTGATGTATCGATTCATCAATTAAAATCGATTATTATACTCACAATACACACTCCATTATGCTTATAAGAATGTAATTGGTTCATGTCAAACCTACAGCCACTAGAGATTTTAACACAAGGGACAGCAAAATAATCAATGAATTGAACTGTGACCCCAAATCATCGAATAAAGGCAGGTGACATTACATGCCTCCTGGTCCAGTACTGCACTGACGGAGTCCGCATTGCCCATGGTACTAGAAACATCAACAGTCCTGTTGTCGCAGAGGACGGTTTCTGTCATGTCCCATATAAACTTGCTGATCCGCCCCTACTGGACATGTGGCAAAATAACTTCATAGGGCATCAGATTCCTCCAGTATAAATAAAAAGATTCTGATAATGCCCTTAAGCCATGAAAGCCTCGCTGAATTGTAAGGGTCTTTTTCAAGTGGATCCTTCATTTTTGACGTCAGGCACATTCCTGCAGTAAGTGTCTGGCTTGTGCAAGGAGGTAACCAACCGCAGAGCGTGGAGAGGCAGCTCACCGGAAGTGTGGCCGAGCGGGGGACATGGTGATGTGGACAGACATCTCAGCGCCGGACGAGCTCAGCTCTAGGTCGGCGAATGCCTCCTTCAGCCCCTCTGCCTTCAAGATAACCTTGTTGGGGGTCTGTTTTTCCTCGTCTGCGTTGGACACCCCAAACTCAAAATCCAGGGGGTCCTCTGGCTCCTGCGTCCTCAGGCTGGCACCGGCAGGCAAGTACAGTATCAACACAAGAATGTATAGACAATCACAGACATACAGGAATAGGTATGTCTTGATGAATAATTTCATAGTGATTCTTATGCTCATGATACGAGCAATGGGTCAAATAAGTCAGATTTAAAATACTGTACTGTTGCATTTGTGTTATTTGAAAAGAAAACTACGTGAGACAGAAGAAAACACTATAATATATGTGGTATTTTAAAATATATATTAAATGGTGACTTCCAAAAATTACAATACATTGATTTGTTGTTGGGGGAGTGAATAATTACACAGCTAATACGCAGGCATACAGAAAGTGTCCCAAATAACTGCCGTGGCAAGTGCTGTTGGCAAGCAGATATTAAGGGCGACACGGTGCATTGGAGGGTTGGGTGGTCAGAGCTATGGGTAGACCAAATATTTAACACATTGTACCAAGTGCTCATATAAGGATGAGTCAAACCAGGGGGGACTCGGGTTCAGTTCAGATACCACTTTCCATTTATGATGTGCAAAGCTGGGAATCAAACCCATCACTAGGATCACAGTGTTGTATGTGAACCTGTTACTGCACTAGCCCTATACAATAAAGATCCCCCTTGTAGCCTCAACAGACCTTTGGGGAAATTGCTGTTAGTGAGCACCTATTAAGGCCGGTGCAGCACACAAGGCCAACACCGGACCCGACCAACCGCCTTTGTCTCCCCAGTGACAATGTTTACACAATGCACCAGGGTACACATTTAAGGACGAGTCGACCTAGGGGAGGCCGAAGACCGGTTCAGATAATCGGCCCTGGTGTTGACCGTGAGCAGGAATTTAACTCGATTCACCAGATTCATAGTGCATCGCTTTAACCGCAATGCTATGGCTCCCCACGCTTACACGCATGCATTCACACACGCACATTCATTCACACACAAGCACGTGTTGTGCCGAGCATGACCTGCAGTCAGTGACAACACCGCCCTCCTCGAGGCACAGGATGAGGGGAGATCCGTACCCCCCGTAGCGCAGGCTCAGAGCCACAGGAGGTGCCACTGTGCGTGCGGCCCCACCTGCACAGCGCGACACGTACATGCATTGGGAAGGAAACACTCCCTCATGGGTGACCATCACAGAGTTGCATCTCTCGGCCACACTCTATCGAGCATAACTGAGCAGTAACATGACTGAAATGGACACTTCAAAAACACAAGAAGATTGTATAGGTACACAAGCAGGCACTGTCACCAACAACAACAGCTGCCATTCACCACAAAGTGGTGATGATGTCACCACTACGCCTGTGCCAGGCTAGGTGTCCTTTGTGGCCACGAGAAGTGATGGAGACTCGCTGATAGGTCACGGGACAGACCCAGGTGCCATGGGTGAAATTACTTGCAGTGTGCCCCCTACTGTGCCAACTTGCTGCAATTTAGTGGCCCAGCGCATCACACGCTGTTGTAAGCGTCACTCCTCTGCCGTCCGTTGTTGTTGGAGGGCGACTGCCTCCATCTGCTCGGGAGTGTCCTTCATGAGCCTCCTCCATGGAGGCCGATCTTGACACCGTTGATACCAGTCTTCAATAAGTCCACTCAGTTCCACATCCTTTACTGCATCAGTCCATCTCTTTCCAGCCCGTTTTGTGCCCATTTAGCCCCCTCTATCCGGCCAAATAAAAGCTGCTTGAGCATGTAGTGGGTGGGTATGTGGGCTACATGACCCAGCCAACACAGACATCCCTGCCGGGGGTCACTGATGGGAACGTGTGCAGATCTTTCAAGGACTTGTGTGCTGCTCAAACAATCCAGCCTGGTTAAACCCAGGATGAATCATAGGCAGGCCAGACTGAATATTTCTAACTGGCGCAGATATTTCATTCGAGGGGTTCACATCTGACAAGCATAAAGGGAGGGCATGACCGTGGCCGAGAAGACCCGAAGCTTTGTGTGGAGTGACAGATCAGGTAGGTTCCACACAGCATTACGTACATGATGAAAAGATAATGCCGCCCGACTGACTCAGAGCGAGACCTCTGCTGTTAAACCGGAGCTGGTCATAAGCACACTGCACAGGTATGGAAATCTCTCCACAACCGCTCCATTACCAATAGTGAGTTGAGGGATGGTATGTTTGATGGCACAAAATACCCAGGCAGGTGCTAAGTTTTGGTAGGGCTGATAGTAAGACCCCACCTCTTAGTGGCATGCTCCAGGTTCAGCATCAGCGCTTCCAACTCCTCCTCTGAGTGAGCAGCAATCACCAGATCATCAGTATACATAACATGGCTAACTAATAGGGAGCCATCTCTTGACTGCACCCAGGCATCGATAAGCCTCCCATTGTATCTGTACCAGATGGAAATTGCCCCAGTACAACCATGGAAAGCTTCACGAACTACGTAGTCAAAGATTACGTGAAATAATGTGGGAGCCAGAGGCGACATCCCTGTCGCACTCCAATGTGAACAAGGAATGGCTCTGACTCCTGGCCACGTAGCTTTACTCAGGCCTGCCCATCATCATGTGTGCCGGGAAAGGTCCTTACTCGGACCTTTCCCAGTACACTGAGGAGGGAGATGCCCCTGTAGTTATTACAGTCTGTGCGGTCCCCCCCTTTGTTAACTGCCTCGCCTGGTATACAGGAAGTCGTGGGTTTTATCCCAACCCTGATGCCTGTATATTTGGAGTTTGCGTGTATTTTTCTCTGGGCCCTCCAGTTTTTCCCTCCACATTTAAAAACATTCGTTTAGAGTATTTAGCTGCTAGAAATTCCCACGTCATAAGCCACTTCATTGAGCTATCATTTGTGGCAAGCTCACTTCTGAAAAATAGCTTTTTTGCTCAGTGGGCCTTACCTGATAAAATATTTAGTTTTAATTATGTCATTCATAATAAATGTTTAATGGGTTATAAATCGTAAATATAAACGTATCGCTAACCCACTACCACCGGACATAGCCAATTAATAAGGTTTGTTAAATAACACACTGTGTTTACCGAAAGAAAACGCATATTGATGCTTATTTGAAAGTAGTCATATCTCCCCGCACAGAAATCCTCTCTCATTAAGATGCTCATAGATCGGGCTAAAAAAGTCTCAGATGATGAAAGTCTGAGGAGTGAGATTAAACATGTTAAAGAAGCACTGCATTTACATGGTTACCAGCCCCTCACATCCATCCACAGCCCTCATTGGCCCCTGTGGTGGCTAAGAGCACCATGAGGGGAACAGAAAATTGGAATTTGCCTTCCCCCCCACATAGCATTGCTCACATCAACCACAGCGTTACCGTGAGGCACCACTGAGGAGATAAGGGGTTGTTTTTTTTGGCAAACACACAAGACAAAGATCCCTTGTATAGCCTGAACAGACTGTTGGGGCAAGTGCTGTTATCGAGCACCTATGAAGGCCGGCACGGCACATGAGGGGGTGGGTGGCCAACACCACGCCCGGCCGCCTTTGTCTCCCCAGTGGTGATATTTACACACTGTTGCACTTTCCCTCAGGACCTGCCATAACTGCATTTTTCTCAGTCTCAGATCTGGAATTCAGCTAAATTAAGTTAAACTAATGTGATTTGCGTGCAGTCAATTGAGTCCAGACTGAGATCAGCTAGCTATAATTGAGAACCCAATTTAATCACAGGTGGCAGAAACCTGGATTCAATCCCAGGACCTGTTCTGTGACCAGTGAACCACTTGACTGCACACAGTACGAGTCCATTAGTGGACTCTGATTGAGTCTCCATGGCAGAACTGTGAGTCTCCATGCGCTGTGAAGCTGTAATGTAAGTTGTGCCTCTAAGGGTAATGTTGTACCCCTCACAGCTGATGACGATGATGCAGATGAGGACGACGCAGTGGACGAAGAGGAGCCACCAAACATGGTCAGGCAGCTGAGCAATGCCGTGAGGTTCACGCGAAACGACACTGGGTTCTCAAGCAGGGAGTACGTGTGGAAAAGTGAAGTCTGCGGAGGGGGGGGGGATAGATAAACATGGGTACGTACTGGAGACATTAATGCAAAAAAAGGGATTACATGCAGGAAACTAGGGCATGCCAACATGACGGGGCTTGCAATTGCAGGACATGAGGAAAACATCAAGCCTATGCATGACGTAGTTTTTGAAGACTGCTCTTACTGTTGCAGTTAGCTGACAGCTTGTGCATTAGTGTGGAATCAGTAGAAACAAATGTTACATGATCATGTGAGAATAAACAAGATGTGTGCACAGTGAGTGCTCAGAATGACATGGCATCAATAGGGAGCATCTGATAACTTTTCCTTATAATCAAGGCAGATTGGGACAAGCTTAACAGGTGATGAGACCTGGATTTACCATTATGAACCCGAGGCTGAATGGCAGGTCATACAGTCTAAACATCCAACTTCTCCAACACCCAAGCAACTTAAGTTAGACCATTCTACAGGCAAGAAGATCATGTGCACCGGTTTTTTGGGAAGTGGTGCATATGACACTATAAACTGAACTATAAACTACAGTTAGTCCCCGGGTTAAGGAAGACTCGACTTACGGAAATCTGACCTTATGGAAATACTCCCATAAATAATGTAAAAAAAATAAAATGCGGAAAGTTTTTCGTTATTTACTTAAGCGCAAGTAGTAGTGCAGCATGCGAGGTTGCAGATGAATACCGTCACGCTGTTACCGTGCGTATACGCGCCACATCGTCTCGTAACTTTCTATTGCAAGTTTTCTTTATTTTAAGTTTATTTCACGAGTTATTTACTGTATATACTTTATTTAACACAATTACACTTCGATCGCTTCTTCTTCTTCTTCAAGTTGCCCATCGCATCTGATGACGACCTTCCTCCTCTGCCTCTATTTGTGGGATTTTGTGTGACTGTAAAGTCCAATCCTCGTCCCACAGCGTCTGCGACAGAGAGAATAGGTGAAGTCGCTGAGTGGAGGTGTAGGTATGGCTCTGGCATCATGTCTCTGCCTTTTCCCTAGTTCACTTCGGTCCTTTTCGAGCTTCGACACTCCCTGCTGGCAGAACTGGCACCAGACGGAGCACTCTGCGGCAGTGTCCTCCAGCTGGGTAGGGTTCAGACTGAATTTTTTCATGGCCGTCTTCAGTTGGTCCTTGTAGCGCCTTTTCTGGCCCTCTGTAGGCCGGTGGCCTAGGTGCAGCTGGCCATACAGGACCTCCTTTGGCATCCTGATGACGTGACCGAGCCAGCGGAGTTAGTGCTGCATGATGGTAGCCTCCATACTCATGCAGTTGGTTTTGCAGAGTATCTCAGTATGGGGCACTCGGTCACGCCAGGTTATCCCCAGGATGCATTGAAGAGACCTAATATGGAAGGCCTCAAGCATCCTGATGTGGAAACTGTACAAGGTCCACGTCTGGCAGCTGTAGAGGAGTGTTGTGATGACCACTACCTGGTAAGCAGATGTTTTAGGATGTAGGCCAAGGTCCTTGTTCTGGAATACCAACAGCGATCAGAGAAGTCTAGGCCTAGTCTAATGCACGGCAAATTAATATTTGTAAGTGACTGCTTTCTGTTAACAATTAATATTCAAATGTTTTGTGGCATTCATGAACAATTGGAAACAGTGTAACTCCATTAGTTTCATTATGGGTCGTGTTCGGGTAGATATTTGATGAAAGGAAAGCATAATAGGAAGTGAAAAGAGTATGTATCGCGATAGGATACAGGGAGCAATAGAGAACGGGCAAGAGCGCGATACAGTACTGAGAGAAAACGAACTAGTAATCGGGTCAGGGAGGCATAAATATTTCTGAATAAGGAAATTTATCCTGATTTTGGGGGAAAATTGTTCATTTTCTGAAATGTACGGAAAATTCAGGTTACGGATTGTTCTCGGGAACCTAACCCTTCCTTAACCCGGAGACTGCCTGTATTTTTTATTTTATCACTTAAATTATACTGAGCTATACAGCTCTTTTTCAGAAGTAATCTGCCCACAAATGATAGCTCAACGAAGTCGCTTATCATGTCGAAATTTATAGCAGCCAAATACTTTTAATGCATGTTTACAAATGTGGTGATAAAAACCAGGGAACGCGGAGAAAAATCCACACGACCACGGAAAGAACATGCAAACTCCAAATATACAGGGAAATATACAGGCATTAGGGTCAGGATCGAACCCACAACCTCCTGTATACCAGGTGAGGTAATTAGCATGTCACCACCGTGGCGAGATAAATATTATACAGACTTGTCCTATCGAATGCATGAGGGCCATTAAAGTTCCATGGAAAGATGTGAACCACACCCTTGCTTGTGCATGATAATGTCCCAGTACACACTTCAAATGTTGCAAAGGCAGCTTTGTTAAGCAATGCCACCAGTGAGGAACTGCCACATCCTGTCTATTCTCCAGACCTGACACCCAGGGAAGTTCAGTAGTTTTCCAATACAATGAGGAGCATACTCTTTGGTTGGAAAGTGCTTTTAGGATGAAGTATCTGAATGAGTTGAAAGATAAGTGCTTTCTGGAAGGAATCAAAAAGGTTTTGGAATGATATGAAAATGTGATTGTGAATATATTTAATAAGGTGATTCTTATTGATGCGTGTACTTTATAAATCAGTGTTTGTACATTAGACCCATTTTTCAGCCACCGAATAGGTCTTTGATTTCTGCTTTTATAACATTCGGTGACGATGCACTCCTCTGCACGAGTACTAATTCCGATAGGAATCCTATCGGAGAAAAAAAACATGTGATCAAAAAGAAGCGACCACTTAGGACTGAAATATTGATGACTGCTCAGGACCGCTGGGCTGCCTAGGGGAAGAAGAAGAAGTAGAGGCACCTTACCTGCACGAAGGCGTTGGCCTGCAGGGTGCACGTGTCCTCCACCGTGGCCTTGAGGCCGTGCTGCGTGGCAAGGAAGGTGGCGTGGTCGCGGAAATGCACGGCGCGGAGCAGCGACACCAGCGTGCGGGCGCTGTCCATCGTCGCCGACAGCACCGCGCTCCCTCCGGACGCCATCGCCCTGCCGATAGGAAGCAAGCCATTCAATTATATGGTCGTTATACATATACCGGTCAACCCACACGGTTTACCCGCGTTCTTTTACGGGGAAATAGAGCTTTCAGGTCCATACGGTTGTACAGCCGTTTCAAAATGTCTATTTGTTGGTGTTTCTTTCTCCCTTGTGATGGGACTTTGTAGGATGAACGTGGTGATTTATAAGACCAATAAGGTGTGAATTGGTCTGTAATAATAATGTAGGCACTGATTAACGGTTAACAGGTATGGTTATAGTCGAGCTCTTTTCCGTGGCCCTTTTCTCTAATTATAAGTGGCCTTATTCTGGTAACCCAGAACAAACAAACGCCTGATCCAGAAATACAAAAAAACACAATGAAAAGCAAACTGTTGTTATTTTACCGGGCAAGTGCCAATGAGCAAAACAGCTCATTTTCAGAAGCGACCTGGCCACAAATAAGAGCTCAGTGAAGTGGCTTATCATGTGGAAATGCACATCAGCCAAATACTCTAAACGAAGGAGGCAATATCACAGCGACACACTCCACTACTCCTAACGCAATGTGTAAAATTATAGTAGCTCAATTGAATCATGAACGAAAGAGATTATTCGATACTCTGAACCTCCACACTTCCGCAGGAATTCCGGTTATGCGTGGACAGATTCAGTAAGTGATCTACATTTCTAGGAGAAACAACAACACATTCAATGTGATCCATACGTTATTTTTGGGTTAGATCGCGTAAATATAAATGTGTCGTTAAACCCGTATTCAGATTGTAAATGTTATGGATTTGCTCTCCAACACACTTGTGTGCTATACGAGTAACGAATTGTCATGTTCTGTTTACGTGACACATTTACGCGATCTGACCCAAAAAAAACTATATTATGGATATTGGTCGCGAAAGCCTACGTGTGTCAAATAGACATTCAATATGACTTTCAGGCGTGCTCTATTATTACTGCAGTATAAGCCACGTCACTGTATTGTGTTCAAATATAGTCAGAGCCTGACTGCTGATGAGGCTCTTGCATGGCGAAATTGGTCGAGTGAAAAATGCGTTCTTTGAATGCCGTGCGGCTGATGGCTTATGTACAAGATTAAATATATTTTTTTTTACGTGGAGGGAACAGATACGTGGAGGCGGTAGATCCCGCGTGATTGTTTTGCATTGAAATGCATGCCAGGTACACGGCAATGAATGTTTATATCCCAAGCCTCTTTGTCGACACACTTAACGTGATATTACATAGTAAGTCCTGTAAAGTTTAGCAAACGTATTGTTCTTGAACGTAAACAAACGCACGTACATAATACAGAGAAATGAAAACAAGTACTGTAGTTAGAAGCTGGGCCAAGGGGGTTGACGCAGACAAATCGATATCCACTTTCGCTACTATACCCCCCCACCACCACCCCCCCCACCACCACCCCCCCCACCACCACCCCCCCCACCACCACCCCCCCACCACCACCCCCCCACACCACCACCCCCCACCACCACCCCCCACCACCACCCCCCCCCACCACCACCCCCCCCCCACCACCACCCCCCCCCACCACCACCCCCCCATCACCCCCCCCCAACACCACCACCACCCCCTCCACCACCCCCCACCACCACCCCCCAACACCACCACCACCCCCCCACCCCCACCACCACCCACCACCCCCCCCCACCACCCCACCCCCACCACCACCCCCCCCCACCACCCCCCCCATCACCCCCCCACCACCACCACCCCCCCACCACCACCACCCACCCCCCCACCACCCCCACCATCACCCCCCCCACCACCACCCCCCCAACACCCCCCCCCACCACCACCACAGATGGACACGAATGTTGTTGTTTTGGTTTCTCTCCACTCTGGAGCCTACGGGGTGGGGGGGCCTGGCCTAGCCGAGCCTCGCAGCGCGGCGTCAAGAGCCCCGCCGCGCGTTACTAACCCCGGGCGGCCGCAGACCGAGGAGATCTCCTGCATGGGGGAAGGCGCTTTCAAGCGAGGCGAACTTAGCCGCCGAGACGCTCCAGCGGAATGTGTTTGTAACGCAAATGAATGCCGGGTTACCTGCAGGGGAGGGCCGAGGGTTGAACTTTTTTTTTTTGGCGGGAAGTTGCACGAGAGACATGACGACATAGCCGCGTGACGTCATCACGCCGTGGGTCACGAGACTCCGCATCTGGAACCTCCCCCCGCCCCCCTCCTCCCCCCGCCCCCCCCCCGCCCCTCCCCCCTCCCCCCCGTGGGGTCGAGGTTTCCTATCTCCCAGCCACTCACCCAGTGCCCCCGTTGAGACCCAGAGTATTGGGACATGCCGTTGACATGTACCGATAAAACTACACACCGCTGGGATATTAATAACTTGGATGTCCACAGCGCGAGGGCTATTTATAACTTCGATGTATACGGATGCTGTTGCAGATTTGAACCTTGCCGTACAAAAGAAGATGACGATGAAACACATTGAATTGGGGGTTTTTTGTTGTTCAAATAGGAGCGGGTGGGGGAGATCCTTTTTTATTTTAGGATCCGACTCTGCTAGGTTACGAAAATTACAAAAGCAATAAGACAAAGTCAACAAGTGGGGCAAGTCAAGGAAATGGAAATCAGCACCTCCCCCCCCCCCCACATTAATAAAGAATAAATCGAAAGCTGCACAAACATAATAGTTAATTAAAACGCACCTCCAGTAACAAAAATTGGCTCCGGCAAAATTTATTGGAGATAGGATAAGTGCTCGTATGGGCAACCACCATGCATACCAGGTGCCATGGGCTGTGATAGGGCTACGTGTTGGACAACAACAGAGACGGGCAGCACCGCAGATTCCATTGTTGGTGCCGTACGTCTTGGAGTGTGAATATATTAACGAAAGACCCAAAGTATGTAATTCCATGTATGGAACATTTAATTTACAGTATCAAGTGATTTCAATTATTGAATATATAGTGATGTGCATGTGATTTATCGTGGTATTGATCTCTAGACTCCACGGATATGTGAATATATTGAATATATATAGTATATACATTTTATAGTACTGTGAATCTATTTTACGGAATAGCAATCCCATTGCACCTTTACAATTTATAGAGGTTATGAATCTGTACACAGTAATCTCTGCTTGTATTCATCTATAAAATCCACTGTGATTTGAAGAAATTAAATTTATAGTGCTGTGAATGCCTAGAATCTCTAATGGTGTAAAATGTACAGTGATATTAATTTATAGAATGTATGGCTGCAATGAGGAATCCCATTTACACCTTTGTAATGTACTTCGTACAGAACATTCTGTGAGATACCGCGACTTATTAAAATGTAAACACGTTCTTTTTTACATCGGTTTGTAGTGCAGGAAGTCTAAATCACAGTAAACAATGCATGTAAAAGCCACCATTAGTAAGAGATGTGTTGTTACTGCACATAGGCAAGCATCACTTGCTAAGTAATAGTACATGTAACTGTAATTTGTTTATCCGGTAAAGAAGTACTAAGTTGAATTCAGATTTTCTTCGAGGGTTTTGTATCAAACGTTTTAATGGTTTTAAGCCAATACTAATATTATATATGAAATCACATTGATTGCATTAACAGACAGGTCGTGAATGAACATTTCGTTCTGTTCTGTATCAATCTTATAAAATAATAATCGAGGAATCTTAGTTTTGGAACGTTGTCTGACCCTTTTCTTCCTTGCACGGCTGATGTTGATGTCGAGCAACAACTATAATGTTACATTGAGGTTGTTAAGCCAGACAATTGGGTCAGGAACAATGGAGTGTGTATCGCTATGATGCCTCCTTTGTATTTCTGAATCGCGAATTGAGTCATTACATGCGTAATGACAGGGTGACACCTGCCGGCCTGTAAGGGTCATTACGGTTATAGCTGCATTACATAACGCCTTAATATGAAGGGGCGTATCTGGGGTAAAGGTCAAGGGCGGAGTCAGTCGAGAAGCTCCGGGAACCATCCCGTAGGTTCTAGAAAGGGGGCATGGCCAGAGGTGGAGCTTGGCCACGCCAGGCAGATATAAAGAGCACCGAACCAGAGCTTCGGGGCTGTTAGTGTGAGCTCTGGGTCCTGGTTGCGTCGCTGTCGTCATCATAGAGGTGGAGCTTGGCCACGCCAGGCAGATATAAAGAGCACCGAACCAGAGCTTCAGGGCTGTTAGTGTGAGCTCTGGGTCCTGGTTGCGTCGCTGTCGTCATCATCCCTTCGTCTCCGACCACGTGGTTGTTCTTCTGCGGGACCAACTCCGTCACCGCCGCTACGCTCGTCGACCAGCCAGCATAGCGCAGGGCGGAGATGGGCTGCGTGTTAGAACAGCCCGGCTGTAGCCGCGTTATGAAGTGTATCCCCCTGTGTGCTCTTAATAAATAAGAAGCCTTCTACTAGACATGTGTGGGAAGTAGCTCACTACACATGTGTCAGGGTTAGGCCTGACGGCCAACCCTATGTCTGTGTGTGGGGGGGGGGGGGGTAGACTGCCAGAAGTCTTAACGACTTCACAGACAGGCCAAGTTCAAAAGTAGCAGAGCCGCTGATAACCGACTTGGTCGGCGACGCCACCACACCCATCTGATTAGAAGGCATCGAAGCATTCAAATCAGATTGGTGCAAAGGGAAGAGGCGAGAAGATTAAAATAATACTGGTTGGAACCTCCTGGTTACACCAGCCCACAGGGGATTATTGTGTCCGCCCGTCGTGCAGGGAGGGGCTGGGTGGGGGGTGGGAGGGGTGGGGCTGGGTGGGGAGGGGCTGGTCACCCAGTGGTGCCCTTATAAAACTCAACGTTTAACCTACTCACGCCGGCTTGTACCCGTCCTCACAGTCGGGCATATTTGCGGAATACACCACACCGCCGTTGACCCTGGCCATTGACCGAGCAACCCAACGTTCCTACCAGCTCCCTCCGCAGGAATGTGTTTAAGAAGGAACGGTTGATCACCGTTGGAAAAGGAGAAGGGGATTGTAAGAAAAAAGGAGAACCTGCTAGAGAGAAAGGGGGGTAGAGGATATAGAAGGGGCCCGAGAGAGAGAGAGAGCTACATTCTGGAGTGCAGCCTCTAGAAGTATGGACTCGATGTGTATGCACGTTGGCTGCGAATAAACCTATTCTTTGGGTCTTTCGGTAAAGTCACGTAGATAGGTTCAAAGAAAAAAAAAACTATGACGTTTCGATCGCAACACAAGCGTTCGTCATCAGGAAGAGGGGGTTAGCTTCTAAAGGGTTAGCTTCTAAAGGGTTAGCTTCTAAAGGGTTAGCTTCTAAAGAGTTAGCTTCTAAAGGGTTAGCTTCTAAAGGGTTAGCTTCTAAAGGTAAACTCAGTTAGCTTGTAAAGGGTTAGCTTCTTAAGCAGCGGTCCCCAAACTTTTTGGCACCAGGGACCGGTTTCGTGGAAGACAATTTTTTCACGGACCGGGGGTGGGTGGGGGGGGTTCTTCATTGGGTCTTTCCCCCTTTTCAAAGAAGCTCTCCAGCCACGTTTGTTTTTTACTCCTTGTGGCAAGGGTTAGTTAGCTTGTGGGCTTACCAACACTGTGACAAGTGCGCAGTGCGGGAAAGAAGCGCGGACGGAAGTGGTGAATAATAAAACAATGGGGGCGGGTTCCACGCGCGGACTCACCGCTCTCACCTCCTGCTGCTGTGCGGCCCGGTTCCTAACAGGCCACGGACCGGGAATGGGTCCGCGGCCCGGGGGTTGGGGACCCCTGTTCTGAAGGGTTAGCTTCCTGATGACGAACGCTTGTGCTGCGATCGAAACGTAGTTTTTTGTTGTTTTCTTTTAACCTATCTACGTGACTTTACCGAAAGACCCAAAGAATACGAATTCCTTCGGTCACAAAAGCTTTAAGTCAAGATGCAAATAAACCATAAAGTTGAGCTATACTTTCCTCGTCCGAAGTCATTATCATATGTCAGATGGTCTTTTGGCCCTTCAATGTAATGGAACGAAAACAATGAAACAGAACAGAATTAAACATGTTTGTCAATCATTCCGCCAACGCTGGTATCCACATCATACGATCTCAAATTATTAGTACATTTTTCATGGATGTGACGTTGAGAGCATGTGAATGTGTGAGCTGGTCGATTCACTCGAGCCCCTATTGGGAGCCTGCGAAGCTGTCCGCTTGTTTTAGTGACGCGTGCGTGAGTGACGCGTGCGTGAGTGACGCGTGTGTGAGCATGGCAACAACAATGAAGGCAGTGGATGCACGAGGTGTGTGTTTTTTTGTGTGCGCAGATGCTCGGGTCTGATTGTGTATGTCACATCCGCAATTATTTAAGAATAAACTGTCATATTGTTTGCTTTTGGGTTTTGAAGTGACATCTTGATCTCACGGTGGCAGTCAGTAGTGTGTACACTCAATACAACACAATGGAACATGAATGTCCAAAAAAAAAAGATGTAAATACAATCGTGGAGAAAGATGATTTGATTTTGTCGTAGAAAATACGATTTTATTTTGTAGTAGAAAATGCATGGAGATCAAAATGCTGTGAATGTAATTCCATTGATGATCAAGCCATTTCATCTGGAAATTGATGGATGAGAGATAGGAAAGTCTTAAGCCCGGACTCGAGTGAGCAGTGCAGGCAGCCATGAGAAAGAGCAAATTTTAGATATCAGAGACAGCGGTTGAAAACGATTAATCATCCACTGAATCGAGGTTGACTTGGAATATAATATAAGTTCTTGATTTCTAGATCAGTGGGTACATCGCAGAGAGTATGGTGGACAATAATATATACTTTTCACGTAGTGAAGAGTGGACAGTGAATCGCAACCCCTTCCTACCTTGTCAGAGTTGGTCTGCGTCATGCTGCCGCTAGACCCAGGGGTCAGCAACTAAAATAACAAGAAGGACCATTTATATCGAATTCTGTATAACCAAAAAAAAACGCAATATTTGAAGAGCCGCAATGCATGTGAATATGAGACGGTACTTGATAAATAACGCCACGAAGCAGTTCCTCAAAAGCCGCATGCGGCTCCTGATCCGCAGGTTACCGGCGTCTGCGCTCGTCAAATCTCACCAAACCC